TATAAAATCCGATATTCTCTTTACTTTGGCAGAAACTCCACGAACTATTTTCAGACTATATAAACATATTATATATTTTTTTCCTTTTTTTTTTTTTCTTTCTCTTTTTTTTGTTTCTTCTTTTTTTTTCTACTTTTTTTTTTTTTTTTCTTTTTTTTTTTTTTTTTTTTTTTTTTTTTCTTTCTTTTTAACTTTTTTTTTTTTTTTCCTTACTTTTTTTCTTTTTCTTTTTATTTTTTTTGTTTTTTATTTTTTTTTGTTTTTTTTCCGTTTCACTTTCTTTTTTTATTTATCAACTTTTCTTTTATTTTTGCTTTTTTTTTCTTTTTCTTTTTTCTTACTTATTATTCTTTTTTTCTATAAATTTAGCCTTTCTAGTAGTTCTTGGAGTCGCCATTCTTGAAGTTATCATTTTTGGAGTTGGAGTTGTCATTCTTGACATATTGGCTGATTTGATTTTTTGGGCCTTTTTCGATAAACTGTTATACGAAATTTTGTTTCTAAGTGATGTTAAAAAAAAAACAAATGAAGTACTTATTATAACTAACAAAAGAGCTTTTTTAACGTCTAGACTAGATAAATAACCAATAAAAACTAATAAAGGAGCTAATCTAAGCTGTAAAAAGAAGTACTTTTACCTTTTGTTAAAATATTCAGGTGTTTGAGAATTGGTTGTGTATTGTTTGATTGGTTAGTAATTAACAAGGGTGAATTTGAAAGCTAATTTTCAAAACAACGGTCTTTTTAACTTACTTTTGGCTTATAACTAAATATATGAATTTTGTAAATTTTTATATACTTAATTAGAAATGCAAGGCTAGTTAAAAAGACCGTTTTTGTGAAAATTTGTTTTGCAATAAATTTTTGTGGAAAATTTTTTGATAATCCTCGATCATAATTGGCTGATTTTGGGGTCAAAACAAATCGGCCAATATGGAGCTATTTTTCTTGGAGTTGAAGTCATCATATTTGGTGCTATTATTGTTCTTGAAGTCAGAGTCATTTTTCTTGGTGCTGTCATCGTTCTTGGAGTCAGAGTTGTTTTTCTTAAAGTTGGAATTGTTGTTCTTAGAGCTATCTTTCTTGGAGTTAGAGTCATCTTACTTGGTACCGTTGTTATTCTTGGAGTCAAAGTCATCTTTCTTGGTAACATTGTTGTTCTTGAAGTTGGAGTCATTTTTCTTAGAGTTGAAGTCATTGTTCTTGAGCTATCTTTCTTGAAGTTGGAGTCATCTTACTTGGTGCTGTCATCATTTTTGAAGTTGGAATTATTTTTCTTAATACTATTATTATTTTTGGAGTTGGGGTTGTTATTTTTTTGCTATTGTTGTTCTTTATGTTTTACTGTAAATAAAGTAGTTGCGTGAGTAGGTTTTTAAACAAAGCTAATATGGTTAATATGAGTAGATTCTATGTAAAAAATTTTATATATATATTTTTTTTTTAATTTTTAATAAAAAAAACTTAAAAATTTTTTTATATTTTTTTTTATGAGCTTATTAGATACCGCACCCTGTGAAATAAATATTTATCATATCTAGGGTACGATATGCTTATATACTAACTTGAATTTTTTTATTTATTTATTTTTTATATGTACAGTATTTATAAATTAAATAAAAATTATTTAAATAAAAATAATTATAATAACTTATATACTTTGTTAAGCTTAACTGCTAGACTTGATTGTTAGAAAAATAAGATACAACGAAATTAGTAGCATATATACTCAGACTGCTCAAGAATAGTGTGTTCTAATTTATATGATATCAAGAATAACAAATCCCTGAAATCATACAAATCCAAACACTCCAGTTTTTAAAAACAATGCAAATTAACATGAGTTATTAAAATCTATCTACTCTAACTGCTAACAAATAACTCACATGAATTGCACTGCTTCTAAGTATTGCTATAAAAATTTTGCCCACGTGATTATTGCTAATAAAAGATCATAATTTGGTGAATGTAAAACGATCAGGAAAATCAAAACTTGTCTTTGTCATAAATCGCTTATTTCTTAAGATTTACATCAGAGACTACCTTTTATGCATTAGTAAAAAGTTTTCCTTAAGCGATTTTACTATAGAATTGCCTAAATCCGAACTCTAACTAGGCACTAACACAAATATAAGCGAATTTAAAAGAATTTTCTGTTGTTCATGTGGGGCAAAATTTTTTATAACTATGCTGAGAAAGATTGCTTCTAAGCATTGTCCATCAGATAATATTGTGTTAAAGCAAGACCGAGATATACAATTGGCACTCAAAATAAAATTTTGATAGATAGCGATATTGTATTACAAATAACAACAAATTAGACAATTAATGTTATAATCTATACGTGTATATCTACACTCCTAATTATAACGTTTCCTTTTACTAATTATCATTTCTTCCTTTTTGTTTGTGATAGGCAGTATTATGACCCACTTTACCATATTGTCTACATCTATATGTACCTCTCGAAGTTTCTTGCTGGTTTTGTTGCTTTTCTACACTACTTTTATAATAATATTTAGTGGGCCTTCCTTTTCCAATAACACGAGTTGGGTTTTAAATATTCTCAGGAAGTTGTGTATTGTTTTCTTCATCAGAATAACTATCATCCGGCTCTTCTGATATAGTTTGACTTGTATTCACAGTATTGATATTTATTTTTTTTGATTGTAAAAGCCTCTTTGTTGTGCTCTTGACTTGTGTACTATTACTGTATATATTAATTTCAATTTTTTTTTTCTAAATATAACTTTGAAGAATATTAATGATTTCATTATCATCATTGTCTACTGCTATTAGTGTTGCCTCACGAGCTAATCCCTATATTTTACCATATATGTTTCTTTTTTTTAAAGCTTTTTTCATAGTTGAAATTGTAACTGGAGCTGTAGACAGCCTTTAAATTAAAAAAATCTCACTATTCTCACATCTTTCATCAGTAATTTCTTTTTCATAAACAAATATAACTTTCTCATTTTCGAATTTTTGATTTTCTTGATAGGAGTCCTTATACCATCATGGGGAAATCATTGATATGTGAAAACCTGCAACTTTAGAGTACATTATAATATAGAAGTAATAGCAGCAGATAAGTCTCTTTAAAATTGATTTAAGGCATAAACATAAGAAAAACACCGAGTTTACAATAACTATAAAGTGAATATGATGCTTTTTTTCACTGCGAATATCAGAAATTTTCTAGATTTCAGTTATACTTTCACTTCTGACTTTATCTATAATAGCTTGAAGTATAATTTTGTGTGTATCATTACTATCTTCAATGAATCCATTCGATGCTTCTTCAATATTTTCTTGTTCAGTATTAAGTTTATTAGACATTAGTTCAATCCTATTTGCTGTAAGATATAAATACTGAGACATTTCAAACTTGATTGTATTATTAATTGATTTTGTGAGAAATTTATCAATAACTTTGACTATGGCTAGAAAAAGATCATGTCTAGCAGTAGGCATAGTAGCAAATTTTGTTGAACTTTTATACTGATTAAATCTATTCCAATATGTTTCTGTCTCTAGGCACTTTTCTAAACAATCTGCAAGTTCACACAACATGCTATTTGCTCTTAGTTCTTTTTTAATGACCTAATTATAACATTCAACACGAGCCATGCTTTCTATTCCAGCTGTAAAAATTTTAAAAAAATAAGCACGTGCCCAAGATTGATTAAATAGATATAATATATGTAGCAAATAGTCTTTTGCTATTGGGTATTGATTAAGTATTTCATTCTAACGTTTATAAAAAAGTGGTTCACAGAGGCTATTGTGGTACTGATAAAATGTTTTAATAAAGTCTTTCTATTTATTATCTATCTTAGCTTTCAGATTCTTAGACAAATTCTGCCCAATGTGAAAAATGCAATGTGCAATATATATTTTGGAAATATAATACGAATCGCAGCATCAAGTGTTGGATCCGCATCAGAAAATATGACTAGAGGTACTATTTTGGTTGTATTTTTTATACATGTGAATGTCTAGCTATAAGTATTAAGAGTCTTATTGCTTACTAGAACTTGACAAACAAATCATGTTCTTTCATTATTATCAATAATCACACATAACCCTAAAGTCATTTGGTACTGGTTGGTTTTAGCCATGTTATTACAAATAACTACATCATGATACTTTATCTACAGGTCAATTTGGTTAGGTGATATCCAAAATAACCATATGAGTCGGTTGTTTTTATCCAATTCAAATTCGACAGCCTACCTAGAATTTTCTATTTTTTTATTAACAAGGTATTAAGTAGGTTTGATGCATCATTCGTTTCATACTTGTTTTCCTTAAATTTTTGAATACTATTGGCTAAATCATTATCATGAAATTGCAAGTTGGGAAAACACCCCTTTAAAATGTTTTTTTAAGACGTGATAGATAAGTTTCCATATCTTGTTATAATTTCTACTTCTTTTAGAGCATCTTCAGAAAGAGAACAATATTTGATCCCAAATTCTTGTGTTTCAAAATTCATAACATGATTATACTTGTTAACAAATATAGTTATCAATATGTGAGTTTTAGTATTACCAAAAGAGAGATTCGCATACCACTAACAATTAACCTTCTTAGTTTTTATATTTTTTTGTTTTCCCTTCTGATTTTTATTAGGTCAGTACTTTCCTCCAAACTCGCAATTAAAAGTTCTCTTGTGAATTATTCTCAAACTATTCTTTTCTACATGATATTTTATCACAGTGAATCCATTTTGCTTTCCATACTCCTCAAAAAACATTTTAACTTCTGTTTAAGAATCAAACACAACATCTTTGGGAATATCTTCAGAAACTATTTCAACTTCATTATTTGGGCCACCTGACATCTCATCATCATGTTCTTCAAGGTCAGTATTAAGCTGATCTGTTATTGTTTCATCATCTTGACTATTTTCAACATAGAGTTCATCCATAGTTGAAGTATCAGGTACATTCATATTTAAAACTTTAGGGCCATCCATACTTAAATAATCAGTTTTTGTTTTGTTCAGATTTTCATTGCATGTTTGGATTTCATTGTTCTGACTAGAAAATGTGCTAGAAGTATTGTTGGTGGTTATTGCCATGAAGCACTCAGCATCATTATCAAAAAAAATGTGTCACTCTATCTCTATTGTGCTTTCTAAATAGTAATTTGAAAAATTGAGTATGTTTTTGTACTAGTAGAATTCTATGTTTATTGTGATGTTAAGAGCAACAAGAGAAAAGCAAATTTTTGAGACTGATTTTATGCTGATCTTGATATCTTGATTGTTTAGCATGTGATGAAATAAATACATCACATAATGATATAATTTGATGCTATAATGTTGGTGGTGATAGAGATTTATATCGCAACCAAGAAATAGTGATCACATAATACGACGATTTGCTTCGAAATAAGCGAAACACAGAAAATTTATAAACAGTTCTTAGAGACAGTGCGTGGTCATATGATCGTAGTTAGGCAGTTAGAGTTATTGGCTTTAGTAGTACTATGTAATCTAGAACTGTTTCTACTATTTCTAAGAACAGTCTATAGATTTTCTAAATGAAGCATTTTTTTATCACATGACTATGATTTGGTTATATATAGCCTGATTTTATGTATAAATTTAGGGTGCAATGCATTAATATCAGTCATAGAACATGTCCCCTTAATTTGCTTCAAATGCTTTACTTATAGGTCAAATAAGATAACGCACTACAATTTTATATATAAAATTTACAAAAAAAAGCATATTTCTTTAATTTTTTCAAAAAAATAAATCTGAAACAT